TTTTTTTTTCTTTTTTACAGCTCCCTGTTCTTCTAAGAAATAGGTGGTGGGTGGGTGGGCAGAATGTGGGGTAAAAATAAAGAGCAATGAGAATGAGTCACAGCTCCTTCAATCCCAGGCTGGATATAAATACATCCACATAGACACGCGTACGTGCATACGCTTCTCCACGCGTGGCTGACATTACATAAGCTGCAGCGTGGGAGGTGTGATGCGAGGCATGTACAATTCATCAATGTGGGACTGAACTCGGGGGTATCTCGTACATCCTAGTGAGCCCCCCGAACGCATCACCGTAGTTTCATTTTGATGCACGCTCCTGCGCGGACGAACCTCGGTGTAAAATCAGCGGGTTTAAAGTGACGGCCGACCCCAAGGCTCCACGCCGCAGCACAGAGCTGTTATCAAACGTGACTGAAAAGTGAGGAGAGGGATCGGACTGTGACGGAAGTGGAAATGGGAGGATGCGCTGGAAAAATCCTGGAATATGGGGCTTATTTCATTCTGAGTCGATACAGTTTATATTCATATATGAACCACATTCACAGGTTTTTGTTTGGGGTCCTTTTTGTGTTCAATATTAACTTTGTATTAGCTCTAGTCTGGGTCTCCACCTGCTCCTTGTCTACTTTCCATATGTAACAGTCACTTAGGTTCATTCAGAATCTGGATAGCTGATATTCCCAGAGCTGAACAATTGATCAACGAGCCAAAAAATGTTTTTACATCAACAGCCTTAACTGCTTGAAATTAAGGCATCTGGACTTCTGTTTGGTTCATGAAGATGTACTTTGGTAGAGGTGGTCCTGAGACTAATCATGTGACTTTCATGATTAGTCCAGTTGCCTGCATTTAAGCACTTGAGACTACCATGACTTCGACCACTGAGAACCTACACAGACAAACTGCAATGAAAGCCTTTCGGTAGATGGCTGCTTATCGCTGAGCCTGGTTGAGCCAGAGGTTTCTTCCTGTTAAAAGGGAGTTTTTCCTTCCCACTGTTGCCAAGTTTGCTCAAGTTGGGGTTTTCTCTGTATTACTGTCGTTTTTACCTTACAATATGAAGCACCTTGGGGTTGAATTGAATTGGATAGACTGAACTGAAACAGGATACAAACTGTGGTCTCTGAGTTCACAGCCACCACCAGCCATCCTAATATCTTATTCAGCCTACCTGCATTTTCACAACTTTGGACTCACCCACTCCTGGGACTGGTGACTTCATTAGCTCACGCCTTTTTGATCTTCTAATTGGACTGAAACTAGTTAACCCAAAGTATAAGCAGTTGCAGGAATGGCTGCTTTTCGTTGAGGTCGAGCATAAACAACAGCAGGCGCAGCATTGCACATTATCTGCATAAGTTTTAAGTTAACTTGTCTGGGGCAGCAGGTCTTCCCAACTCTAATGTGTAATGCTGGAAGGTTTGATTATGAACACATTAAACACATGCACATTTTATCCACACACATATTTGCTACTTTTACAGTAATACACATTCCTGGAATCCTCTCACATGAACAATAAAAGGTGTTATTATTATTTCAGTTCAGAATAACAAGTCTAAAATAAAAATCACAGAAAGGTTAGCAGCTTTGGCAGAGTTTCTCCCAAGATGGAGAACATATTGATATCTGAAGCAACTCAGGTCAAAGCAGGTCTTCTTTAAACTCTAAGACATCTTCAGTTTTTGTTGACCTGGACTATATTACATTATCTTGAAAGAATTATCAGGTTTCTGTATGTGTAAACGCTGTAATAGTGGATTCTTTGGCAGCGCTGTTGCCCATGTGTTTCTAATAAGGCACTCAGTCCGTGTGTGTGTGCGCGTGTGTGTGTGTGAAATAACAGACAATACTTTTGATGCCTTAAGGAGAAAGTTGTGGAGCGTATCATCGTCTCGTTTTATTTGTATAACATGCATTTTATGGATCAGATTGAGCCTTTAACACACTATGATTATCGGTTTCGTCTAACCTTTAACAAATCTGTCCGTCATTCTTCTTAAACGCTCGTCCAGGGTCACCGTGTGGCTGGAGCGAGAAACATGGTACAAATATAATACAAGACCTGAAATTCCACTGATTGATCGTGTTGGTATTACAAGGCTGGATGGAAGCATGTTTTCCATCCAAAAGCTGCAGCAGAAATCAAGATTCGCCCGATCAAAGCCTTTATGTGTTTAATTGTTCCAGATTGTGTGAATTGTAGCCTCAGTTTCCTGTTCTTAGTCTGCAGGAGTGGCACTCAGTCTGGTCTTCTTCTGCAATAGTCCATCTCCTTCAGGGTTTGACCTGCTGTTCAATCAGAGATGCTTTTCTGCATACCTCTGTTATAATGAGTAAAGTTGCTGTTGCCTTCCTATCAGCTCAAAGCAGTCTCCTCTGACCTCTGGCACTGGATATTTCTTATTTTCAAACCAGCCCATCTGACGCTAACAACATCCACATTCGCTTTTCTTTCTCACTCTGATGCTTAATCAGAAATTCAGCAGGTCACCCTGATCTTGTCCACATGGCTAAATGCGCTCAGGTGTTGTCACATGACTGACTGATTAGAAATTTGTGTTAAAGAGCAGCTGAACAGGTGTACCTAATAATGTGTGGTTGGGATGTTGTTATTTTACCCGTTGACATCGACACCGTCAGCTGTTTCCAGGGTGATTTGAATTTTTATCTCCTCTGACACATTGAGTCAACGTCCCACATCTTGATGAGCTCCCGTTTTCCAAAATCAACAATGTAATACGGACACTTTCCTAAACTTTGGCTTTTATTGAATGCCTGTGAAGACATCACAGGCCTCCTGCAGGTTAACATGGCACGCTCCGAGGTGGAAAATTACAAGTCGGTACAAAGTCGCACGGGACTAGGATGAAAACTACCACAAACAAAAGGAATTTCGGCTACAATAAAGACTGGGAAATATTTAATAACTGGGGAAAACTGGTGAAAGGAGATTCTTTAACAGGCTTTATGCTTTTTATCGGTTATTTTTGAGCCTAACAAGAAAGCTGTGGCTCAAAAAAAGACACCAGTTGATGAAGTCATGCCCACTGAAAGCTGAATGATTGCTCGATGGAACAGTAACTGAGAAAACACTGAGCAGTTTCAAAGGTTAACAGGTTAAAAATCTCCCACACAAACATACTCTTTGGCCCACATTTAGTTTGTTGTGATCTGGTCACTCGACTGCTTGGCTGCTCTTATAATTTTAATTAAATCTCCAAAGGGTTATCTACATGAGACATGAGCATTTACCTTATTA